AAATTCTCCATTGCACTGAGGAAGGTATGCATTTTTACTCTGAGTACTGCCTTTGCACCTCCCAGGAGTTTATTCCATTGCACGGGAGGAGTACCAGGAGTTTTAGGCCTCCTTTGATCGGTCCTCGCATCATGAGGTGAGGACCTGAACGGGAGTAAGACCTTCTCACTGGCCTACAGAGAAAAACAGAAAGGGGGAACTGCTAGGAGCCGATTTGAGTGGCTGCCATTACAAGATGGCATTTGGCCCCAGCCTCGCTTGATACCATAATAAAGGTTGCAGTTCTTCCACCAGAAAACAGGATGAGTTGTTGTGATCTAGCTGCCCACACTTCCCCTGACCGGCAGGGGAACTTCCTTGTGGTCTGTAATTGACAGGGATGTTCCCCTGCTTTCTTTCCTGCGGGTGGGTCTCCAGAAAAGCAGTTAAAGTATCAAAGTATCAAAGGTTGCTAGGCAGACTCCCTATATAAGCAGCTGCAAATCAGAGCTCGGGGCCCCTTGCTGTCTGCTCTCCCTATGACCAAGAGGCTCCAATAAAGCGTGATTTGGGAGGAATCCTCGTCTGGTGGCTGTTCTTTCCTGCTGGTCAGGGAGTTCGCCGCAGAGAGGAGGATGCATGAAAAAGGAAAGTATAGGGAAACAGTGAGAACAACAAGGTTTAAGTGGCAAAGAGGACAGAAGTTATCAAGAAGTTGGGGTAGGGACTAGCCAAACCTAAGGATTATACAGAAACCATATGGAAATTTGCTAATCTAAAAGCTAACATTAAAATTCTACTGGGAAATAGAAAAAAAAAAGACTAACCCATTATCACATCAGAAATGTCAAGTGTTCATGGACAGAAAAAGGATCTCTGAGTTGGGAGTGGTGACTCATGTTTATAATTCAAGAAGTTGAGAAACTAAGATAAGAGAGCAATCATGTGAGTTTGACAACAACTGTGGATACATGAGAGAGTTCTACAACAGCCTGGGCCTGATTTAGAAAAAAAAAATCAGAAAAAGAAAAAGAAAAAAAAAAGAACACAAGGGGAGCAAATAGGAGGACATGGTGGTAGGGGAGAGAAGAGAGAGGGGAAATAAAAGACAAAATCTGAAATCAGCACCACTCGAATCTACAAATAAAAGACATCTGTTTCACTGCTATGGGGAAATTTTAAGTATCTTTTGTGCATACTTTGCTAAAGGAGGAGAAAGTCTGTATCTTTGAGCAATAGATCAAAGGTTGTGGGACTAAGAAAATAGAGTGAGCATGAATTGCAGTTATGAAACCAGACTATTAAGACAATTCAATATATAAAAATATATCCAAACAAAGAAGTGAAGTTTTCTGGACCCCTGTGTCCTATTCTATCAGCAGTGACTGATGATGGTCTTCATTTGGTTATGATTCTCTGTATTTAATAAGCTAAGAACTTCTTGTATCACTATGCAGAGTTTTTGGGGAGCCACTGATTCGTCAAGAATCTGAAGTCTTCTCAATCACACATCCTAAAATTTGTGCATAAATATAATGGCCACTAGAAAATAGTTCTTAAATTGTAGTTCTCATTAAAAAATACATATGGATTTGTGTGACATCAAGTGTAACAATTCTTAGATAATTAAAGCCCTCAGTATGGCAGAACATGTCTTTCAACAATACAATCAGACACATTTGACATAAGAATTTCTCGAATGATCAATAATCATGTGTAGTGCTGACTGGGAGTGACACTCAAGTAATTTAATCTATTTTCTTGCCATAATAAAATATTTGATATTACTTAACTTATATTTTTAATATTATTTACTGAGATGATTTTTCTGTTAAAAGTGTGTATTACTGAGGGCCCATGTTCAGTTCCAAACAACCACATCGATCAGGCAGCTCACAACTGCCTGCTAACTCTAGGCCCAGGTGACCTAACCACTTCTTTTGACCTCATTGGACTCTTGGACATTTATGCATAAATACACACAATCACATACAAAATAAAAATAAAAAATACTTTAGCTCATGGATCTAAAGATTGAGCACCCAGGATGGCATGGAGCTGTGTGCATAGCCTTTGCTGGGAGCCATTTCACTGCATCTTAATACAGAAGGTGACATGTGTGATGCGTGGTAGATACAAGAACCACATGACAAAAGAGAAGAAAGAGACCAGAGAAGGAAAGGATCTTTCTTTTAAAAACACCTACCCTATGAGAAATAATCCACACCTGGAAGGACAATGTAATTCCTTTCCAAGTGTAAACCTTTATAGGCCAATCAGCTTTTATTAGGCCTACTTCTTAGAGCTCAATAATGTTCAATACCTTTGGTTCTTGCACATTAAAGTTTGGGGGACATACTGCAATCATTGTCAACTTATACCATGAAGTAACACACAAAAATATGTCATAGGAGGCAAAGAAAACATAGTCTAATGAGATCTATAAAACTTACACATGCACACACACACACCATGATTTTTCTTGAAATAAGACCAAATACACAACTTTTATCAAAAGCTAGTGTTTACTGTTTAAATTGATATAATAATTGATTTTAAAAGTACCTCGGAAGGGAACATTTTCGTGAAGCAGGTTGGTCACATTATAGCCATGTTCTTGAAGAATTTGTGACACCTGGTTCATCACTCTAAAATGGCTTCCACCTAGAAATAAAACATAAGTTCATTTTTGTGGAGAACAATGAAAAGATTTCTGATTACCATAAATGACTGACATAAAGAAATCCAAAAGTAAGTGTAAAGACACAAAAAGTGTCAAAAATCCATATAGAGAAACCAGCTCTTCCATGTTCTCAATTACATTGTAGGTACTATCCAGGGTGAGAACCCAGCGCTCTGGCCAATAGTAATCTTCCACCAAAGTGCACTATTGCTGTTTCTACATTGGATGCTATTTCAATGTAATATTTACCCCCACCCTTGGTACAGTCCCTACTAAGCACCACATTGCACACACTCCATATGACTTCCCTCAGATTTTCTCTCAGCCTAGCTATAAAATCTCGTGTATAGATGATCCAGTACGTGCTATTTTTATGAGACATGTCCTTCCCTCCCAAGTATCCTGGTCCTACAAGACTCTACATTCACAGCAGGCACTCACCCATTGTAGCTATAGTCAGGATTTTTGCAGCCTCCAAGAAAAGAACGTCAGTGAGAAATAAGCTCACTAGAAGCCAACTCCGATGCTGAGCCATCTGTAGAACTCACAGAACGCAGGTATAGGATCCACACCTGGAGAATGTGCACCAATAAGGATCCCTGGGAGCCTCTGTCACAGTGTCCTCTTGCTCTTTACCTTGTCTCTGCAGGCCACTTTCCACTGGAGATTCTGTTTCACCTTTCATAAACAGAGTTGATAGATCAATAGATGGAGAATTAATATTTAACTTGACCTTTAGCCACAGTATCCTCTTTATTGCTTCAATAGAACTCTCTAAACTGTGACTGAAAGGACCTTGAGAAATCCTTCCAATGACAGCATCTTGAAGTGACATGTACCGTGACCATTTTATAGGCCCATTCACTAACTTACAAGACTCTGTCTGCCTCCTCTGTCATTTCTTTACTTGGATCCTATTGCCATATCTGTTATCCTTTAAGCCAGGTTCCAGTTCTAAAATCTCCAATAGTGGCAATAATAAGCTAATTTCCCAGGAAAACACCTACGATTTTTCCTCAAGACCTCTCACTAGCCACAAATTCACAAAAATGTGCTCGTGGCCTAAGTTCAGACTTTACCTGAAGACAAAACAATTAAGATTTGAATCCATGGCTCTGAATGAGCATCATAAAGCAGAATGGAAGCATTACACCATCTTCCCACGTGCAAGCACAAGCGAGCAACAACAAACTCTACATCTTCCTGAAGGAAGGGAGAGGGGGCTCATGCTATAAACCTCAAACATCTTAGATCACTAACATCATAGAGCTGTATAAACAATGTCACTACCTCCTGATGTAACACTACTGCCGTGTGATTTCTATTGTTTTTCTAACCCATTTATGGTCAGCTCTTCTGATATTTGCACCTAAAGAGCTCTTTTTTGGCACAACTGGCAAATACTTGTTCCTGCAGTGACCTTATTAGAGTTGATTCTAAATATTGGCCTTGTTCTCTGCTAAGCAATGTTACAGACTATGAGGATGAACCAACTGCTGTCTCTAAGAATTAGGTAGCAGTTGAGAGTGGGGGAGTACTGCTCCATAATAAACTTCTTCCTTCATTAGAAATTACTTGTTACGTATCAGCCTCTTTGGCATTTCTGACTATGAGAGAGAAATCTGCTCAGCGTGCCATTCAAGGACTCCTGTGTCTCTCTTTATGCTGCATCTACAAAGATGAAGGTTGCATCAAACACTTTATGACACAAAATCTGCAGTTTAATATAAGCTTTATGGGGAAACAAATTACAAAAGATAAAAATAACAGCAATCAAGTATGTGGTGGATTTTAGAGAAGGTTCAATGAGGTTCAATTAAGAAGGTATATTGTCTTATCTTCGGGTGGAATTTTCTATAGATGTCTATTAAGCCCATTTGAGTCATGATATCTGTTAGTTCCATTATTTTTCTGGATATTTTCTGTCCAGTAGCCATGTTTATTGGTGAGAGTGGGGTGTTGAAATCTCCCACTATTAGCGTGTGGGGTTTTGTGTGTGATTTAAGCTTTAGTAATGTTTCTTTTACAATGTGGGGGCCCTTGTATTTCAGGCACAAATGTTCAGGACTGAAAATTTATCTTCGTGAATGTTTGCTGCGATAAATATGAAATATCCTTCTTCATATCTTCTGATTACCTTTAGTTTGAGGTCTATTTTGTTATATATTAGGATAGCTACACCAGCTTGCTTCTTAGGTCCATTTGATTGGAAGTCCTTTCCCAAACCTTTATTCTGAGGTAATCTCTGTCTTTGACATTGAACTGTGATTTTTTTTATACAGCAGAAGGATGGATCTTGTTTTTGTAGCTATTGTGATACCCTGTATCTTTTAATAGGTGAGTTGAGTCCACTGATGTTAAGTGATATTAATGACCAATGAGTGTTAATTCCTGTTATTTTTGGTGGTAATGTGTATGTGGTTTCCTTCTTTAGGATTTGCTGGTGTGGGATTATCTATTGTCTGTAGTTTCATGGGTGCAGCAAACTTCCTTGGGGTTGGAGTTTTCATTCTAGTGCTTTCTGTAGGGCTGGATTTGTAGATAGGTATTGTTTGAACTTACTTTTGTCATGGAATGTATTATTCCCCATCTATGGTGATTTGAAAGTTTTATTGGATGTAGTAATCTGTACTGGCATCTGTGATATCTCTCTCTCTCTCTCTCTCTCTCTCTCTCTCTCTCTCTCTCTCTCTCTCGTTTTTTTTGAAACAGGGTTTCTCTGTGTAGCTATGGTGCCTGTCCTGGAACTCGCTCTGTAGATCAGGCTGGCCTCCAACTCACAGAGATCCGCCTGCCTCTGCCTCCCCAGGGTTGGGGTTCCACATCACTACTGCCCCCCAGCTAATGTCTATCTAGGACCATCTGGCTTTCAGAGTCTCCCTTTAGAAGTCAGGTGTAATTCTGATGGGTCTGCCTTCATATGTTACTTAGATTTTTCCCTTTGCAGCTTTTGAAATTCTTTCATTATTCTATATATTTTGTGTTTTGATTACTATGTAGTAAGGGGACTTTTTGGTGCAGTCTATTTGGTGTTCTGAAAGCCTCTTGTACCTTCATAGGCATTTTCTTATTTAGGTTGGTAAGGATTTCTCCTATGATTTTGTTGAATATGTTTTTGTGCCTTTAATCTGGAATTGTTTTCCTTCTTCTAACCCTAGTGTTTTTAAGTTTGGTCCCACATTTCCTGTACATTTTGTGTTATGACTTTAATGACTTTGTTTTCTTTGATTGATGAATCTATTTCCTCTATTTTATCTTCAATACCTGAGATTCCCTCCTCCATCTCCTGCATTCTGTTGGTTATGTTTGAATCTGTAGTTCCTGTTCATGTACCCAGGTTTTCCGTTTCGAGAAATCCCATGGTTTGTGTTTTCTTTGTTGCTTATTATTCAATTTTCAAGTCTTGAACTGTTTCCTTTACCTGTTTGTTCTTGGCTTTCTTTCAGAGATTTATTGATTTTTTTCCCTATTTTTTGTTTGTCTTTTCCTCAGTGTCTTCGAGGAAACTTTTCATTTCCTCTTGAAGGGTCTCTAACATCTTCAAAAAGTTGTTTTTAAGGTCATTTTCTTTTGGTTCCTCTGCATTGGTTTGTTCAGGTCTTCCTGTTGTAGGACCACTAGGTTCTGCTAAGGTCACAACGCTCTTTAGAATGTTGAATATATTCTTGCATTAGCATCTACCCATCTCTTCCTCCAATTGGTGCAGACACTTCCTTTGCCTTCTCATCCAACCATGGCAGGCACTGTCTGTGTCTCAGGGGATGTTCCTGGTCCACTCTTTGCCGTTGCTATCTGTGTACAGGGAGCCACTTAGGTCTCAGGGCAGAGGTGGATTTGGGAGCAGAGTGGGAATTGAAGATTACAGAGTCTGATAGGGGTGGAGTAGCCTGCCTGCAGTCTTGCCTGCTAGCTAGCGCAGCTGAAATGAGTTGGGGAAGGGCCCAGGATTTTGCTCCAGGACCTAGGATCTAGAGACTGGACTGTCCAGCTGGGAGGATGGTTACTCACCCTTTGGTCTGCAACAGAATTTCTCTAAGTTCAAATTCATCAAGGGCATCAGGATCCTAACAGCAAATCATCAAAACACTTTTTACCCAGGAACCCAGCATACGTACGCCACTCACAAAGTGTTGTCTCCTTCGCTTTTGCTAAATGATATTGGTTTTGGTCTAAGCATCTCTTCCAAGAACTAGCCCAGGGGTTGGGGGAGGGATCTGTGCTCTGATAGCCTAGGGAGAGGATCACTGGAACATAATTTCTCAAAGCTTAACTTTTCTTTTTAGCTTATAGATCCTATTGTTAAAAATGAAGAAGTGACAGAGGTTATAGAATAAATAAGAACATCAAGTTACCTAAAATGCTGATCTGTAGCAACACATTGCTTCAAGCTGAAACTATGGACATGAATTTCTGCCCCTGGGGACTCAGGTACCCTCCTATGGCCCTGTGTCCCCTCCTTCTTCTCTGTCTTCCTAAAGTGCCCCTGCCCATCAAAACGTTTAGTGCTAATTGGATGGCCTGGACATGCTGCGGCAGACTCACAGTCTGAGGGGCTCAACTCACTGTTAGTCCTATGTTGTTGGTCCTACCTTTTCTCAAGTTTACACCCTTGCTACCTAGGAAATCCCAGTGACTGTAAAATCCCATGCTGTTTGTTGGGGGAAAGATGACAGGCAGAAGTTCTGTCGACAATTGTTTGGTTTCTAACACAGCCTCAACACTGATCTTCCACTTTTAGAAAGGAAATGTTTGGAAAATTGTCGTAATTACTTCAGCAGCTTTCTCCTGACTCTACAACGATGACTCCCTGAATGGCTTATTGCCAGGTGAGACATGAAGCCACACCCTTTAGGAGCAAGCAGAGGTAATTCACACACCGAGAAGTTACCTTTTCCACATTTGTTTTGTTTGGCTTCTTTATTTTAATTCTTTATTTTACATTTGTTTCGTGATTATTCTGAGCAACTCCCCTGCCAGAACAAACGCAGGCTAGTTTGTTCTTGCTGTGGCAGATAAATCTAAGTCACATTTCTTAAACTGAGTTACTTTGACATCCACCCTTCCTCCATACTCCCCCCCCCTCAGGCTCCCTCCATCCTGGAATCATAGAAGAACTGGACCAGAACTTTCTAAAAAGGCCTCCATTACACTTTTCATTATGTATTTTACCTGTGTATTCTCAGTGTAGGGTGGTCATTGGTTTTTTTAAGATCATTAAAGTAAGCGGTATGATTTGAAGATTTAACACAGAAATTAAACAAGATTTATTTTAGAAAATCAACATTAGTTGAGGTGTGTTCTTGAAGGAACAAGAAAACAGCTGCTCAAAAAGAACTTTATCTATTTCTAAGTCAGACGGTATTTCAGGAAGTACTTGCAGTAGAACACTCTGCTTAAAAAGTTAAGAGAATGTGGAGACTCAGCAGGGATTCAGTGTGCTTCCTCTCTCTTCCAACCTAGTATAGTCTGAGCATCACACAAATAGTAAATTACAAGGTCATTTGAAATTATATTTGTCTTTAATCAGATAAATTAATGAACAATTTAAGCTTTCTCAACTCATATTCTATTAGGTTCTTTCATGCTTTTCATCATTATAACGATGCCAATGAAAAGAGCTGCATTTGTTTCTGTGTATATTTTATTTTTTTATTTTATAAGCCCACCTTATATT